TTTTAAGTTTAGTGTAAATTATTGGTGTGAGAATCACACAGACTTGCACGTAGGCATATTTTTCATGAAGCGCTAGCGCGCTTCATCAAATATGCCTACGTGACAAGTCTGTGTGATTCACACACCAATAACTCACACAAAACTTAAAAACATTCCTTAAATAATGATATATAGATTTTGAATTGATGGCCGAATTCAATCCTAAAGTAAAATTACTAATCCCATAATCTACGAATTGGGAAGTCAAATTTTAAAATGCAGGAATTTTTTACCTTTCTTTAAAATGTCAAAATGGGCTTGCTTTTGGCTTAAAAAAATAAAAAAGAGGGATTTTTTATATTGTATTAAATGCTATCTGCATCGATGATAAATGTCCTCTCCTTGCTCCGGGGCACTTTTGATCTAATTTCACTTTTACCCATAAAAGAATACTAGTACATGTATTTGTGGAAAAGTGAGACTGAGACCAAGAGTGAGCTCATCTAAGTTTTATGGCCCCAGAGCCTGCATGTTGCAATTTCAAAAATATATGACACGTACATTATTTTCTTTTTCATACATTCATATATGTATGGCAAAGATTCATTGATTGTTAGCATTTCTATATTTGTATAACTGAGCATTGCCAAACCCTCTAAATCCGTCGCTATGCCCAAACTCCATCACTTTCCGGAAATTCCATGCAATTTGTGAATAAGAGTGAATATTTACATTCGCTGTGTTTTTCTACTAAGCCAACTGTGAAATTGATTTGAAAGTCATTTTTGTGTATACTCACGCGTAGAAATATACACGGAGAAACGTGCGTTAACGTGACGTCACAATGAGGCTGCAGCGACGTTTGTAAAAATGCAGCGATACAGGGCAACAAGAAATTCAAATATTGAGTATATTTTAGTTGCTTCCGAACATGTAAAATGTAAATATAAGGAATGTTTTTCAGTTTAGTGTGAATTATTGGTGTGTGGATCACACAGACTTGCACGCAGGCATATTTTTCATGAAGCGCTAGCGGGCTTCATGAAATATGCCTACGTGACTAGTCTATGTGATTCACACACCAATAACTCACACAAAACTAAAAAACATTCCTTAATTGTGACGTAATTTATGCATGCTGAAAATCTACAATCACATTTAAAGCTGCTATAGCAATCAAGTTAAAAAAAACGTCTAAATAAATTTACACTAATTTAATTATAGGTATCATATTGAAATCAGTAAGCGTCTTTTCCCCTTTCGTGCTCCATAACTGCGTTAACATGGTATTTTTACTGTCAGTCATTTTTATGAAGGTCTATTACAAAGTTCAACATGACTACCATGTTAAATAGGGCTAAATTATTTAATTTTTTTTATATACAATTGCATCAATGTACTACGCGTTCTAATAACGTAATTGCAACATTTTTACATATATAACAATTATAAGGAATGTTTTGTTTTAGAAAAAGTGAAAGAATATGTTGGGAAAACACAGTTATTAATATTTTGAGATGACAGTTTAAAAACACGGAGAAATAAATCGAGAAACAGCGCACTTCTTTGTGCTCAATAAATATACCGTTTTTTCAATGGGTGACACACTACCTCTCCGGTTTGTGAATTTTTTTTCGAAGAGCTACAGATCTGCAGCTATTGTGTAACAAGAAACAAATCAAAATATAATTTGAAAAGAAATGCGAGATATTTTCCTGTCATTGTGATGGGTACTTAACGACGTTCGATCCTGATTTTTAAAGTCTTAAACTTTTTTGGCCAAGTATATTTTTAGTTTCTACATACATAGCTTAATTAAAATTCAAATCAAAAAATGGGGGTCAATACGCTTCTTTTGGCGCTACAGTACATTTAATATGACCTTCTTGCACTGAAATTTGTGTTTTAATTAAAAATTAAATTTTTGACGTTTTCCTTCCAATATTTTTATCCAATTAAAGCATGAAACAAAATGAACTCTAAGTTTGTTTAAAAAGAGACACTTAAAAATTGTGACTAAGAAAAAGTTTGAAATTGCTTCGCATAATCAATTTTTTGACCTTTCTGCACTAATAAAAAGTGATTTTTTTGGCATTGAAAATTTAATAAGCAAGGAAATTATTTTAAAGTCTTAAACTTTTTCTGATTTTAAGCAAATAGGTCAAATTTATCTTGAATATTTAGAAAAGAACATCAAAAGTTGGGGTATATGATGTAAATTTTCAGATATGACTAAAAAAGTGTCAATTTTACGTTAAAATTGGCTTAATTTTTTCCCGGATTTTCAGAATACGTTGACTATATTTGTCACACTTTGTTGATAGAATTCATAAGAAATAATTTAATAGATATTTCAGAACCAGCATAAGACATTTCACTGCGAAAAACAGCTTTGTGTGCAACCAGGATGGAAAAATAGGAATCCAAAAATAACAGTATTGTTATAGTTCAAAATGGAAAAACTGATCATTTTCGTCTAAAAAAATCTTCCGATACAAAATATAGTCCCTGCTTAATTCTACTTGAATGGAATTTAATCGCGGTTTTTTCATTGAATATAGTTAAATTTGCACAGTAGAATTCAGATTTAATGTTAGAACTTAAAAATGATGCAGAATTTTATAAATAAAGGACCTGACCAAAATAAGCTCAAAATCTTAGGATCGAACGTCCTTAAGGATAACTAGTTCAGTTTTTATACATCAAATAAGTTACAAAATACGTACATTGTCGTGTTGCTCACGTTTTTCTTTCCAGTGATTTTTCATTGGGGTTTCTATTAGATTGAAATTTTTGTATATGCCAGTTACTTGGGGTGAATATCACATTTTACTGGAAGACGTCACCTCCATTCAGTACTTTAATTTTGATCAGTTTTTTTGTTCAAATTACCGAATTACAAAAAAAAAAAGAAGAAACTTCAAAATAGTTAAATACTTTTAAGAGTTCCTTGAAAATTTGAAAGAATTTTTTGACATCAATTTAATGATTTCGGTACGATGTTACATAATTTATATGAAAGACTTATTTAAATACTTTTTAAAAATAATACAATGTATTTTTAATGCAACTACTAATTAACCGTTATATGGAAGTGTGAAAACAAATTATTTGTCTTTGTTCCTTCATGCGTAAAGTCGGTGTACGAGATAACTGATTATGCAAAGTGAAGCCCTACTTAAGTGCTCTACCTTTTGGTAGAATTGCTTGTTTAAACTTTCCGTTACAGACAATATATAAATTCCGTTACAGAAAATATATAAGTTTGGATTTTCTAATTGTCACAGATTATACTGTGTCGGCAAAATTTTTACTGTGTCGCACGTGTAAAATTTGAATCGTTACTGTGTCGGAAAGATTTTTACTGGGTCGGGAGCAACACAGTAAAACAGCTCATGGAGAACCCTGAATAAGGATATTGTTCCGCATAGACCTTGATCGACAACGGACATTTTCCTGTCCATTCGGTTTACAACCGATCGTAGTAATTCCAATTCTCTTCGCAATTGAGCGTTTTCTTGACGCAGCAAAGATATATACTTTCATAATTGCTTTCATTTGTTCTGAAACTTATTTTATTTTTTAATCTACGCTCTGATCACCCTCCGACAGATCATTTTTTATAGTTTCCACTGATGTTATAATGTCCTCAATAGTGGTAACAATAGACTGATTATCGGCTGGGTCTTCTCACGGTTCATTACCTGCATTCTTCTGTGAACACTCCGAAGCCTGTTTAGAAGTAGCCCCGGTTTTTCTCCTGTCTGACGGCATTGTAAATGCAGAAATATCACAAATATCACAAATAGCCCTCTCAAAGCAAAAACTAAACAGTAAACCAAGATAAGAATACTGACACATCCTTGCACTTTTACAAATTGATTTTATTCTTAATCCTTAGGAAAAGTGGCAATTTCGTTGTGTATAAATGAAAAATATTAATAATCTAGAAAACTCATATTAGACATGTTCGAAAGCAAAACAAACACACAATATATTGTCAGTCCGTGCAGTTGAGATAAGCAGATTGTGACGATTGAACGCTTCCGGTGAATTGTAAACATCAACAGAAACAGAACTCGTGCCTTGTTTACAAAAACCGTGTACATAACACGAGTGTGCTCGATTTGCTAAACCCTGAACTCAACTCTTAGTTCGGAATGACGATACTTGTAAAGGAGTTTTGCTTTCTAACATTTCTACTCTGAATAAAATTTTTTTCTGGATAAAAGTTTTGATATTTCTCATTATTACACAACAAGATTGCCACTTTTCCTAAGGATTAAGAATAAGGTTAAAATTTATGAACATGCAAGCATGTGTCAATCAAACCCGCCAAAAAATTTGAAGTTTAAATAACTGTTAAATGAAATAAGATTTTTCATTAATTTTTGTGTGAAATGGTATTAAAATATATATGTCGTAATATTATAGAGAAAATATTGACTTCAAATCCGTGTCCAAGTACCTTTAATAGCCTATCTAAAAATCTGTCAATAATAATATGTTTAATAATAAAATGCATTTTTCATCGTTAACATTATACTTGATATGCCTTTCACAGCACATATATTACGTCTTTTTTACTAAAATGACATCATTTCGACAAGTTTGCTGCGATTGGTTATTTGTTTATAAATTGTTGTCTTGGATTTAACTAGCAACTATTTTAATGCATTGATAAGTAATGTTGTTGTTTATTATACTTATACACTTTAAAATTGCAAAGTATTTGATTCTCTGGTATTATGAGGAATACCTATTTTTGTTTGATGTCACAGTTAACATTTTTATATAAGTTAGGCCCCGCCCCTTTTTAAAGCCTTAACAAGGCTGCATTGTAAATGAAAGGTTTATCTGTCTTTATTTGAATGTAATAATTTTAGGTTTACATAAGGGTTGATCTTGTGTATGTAAATGCAGGATTTAGCACACTGCTAAAGAATGACAAATCATTAAATTCCCATTAATTTGTTATGACATGAATAATGAAATATAAATTCATAGGATAATTTACAAACCTTTTTAGCAGCTTCAGCTAGAAATTGTTTTGGATCATCTGTCCAGTCAGAAGGAGCCAATAAAATCCATTTTATGTCACTTGACTTTGAGCCTGGGTATTCTTTGTTTATCTTCCTCTTAACTTGATTGACCATACATTTGATAAATGCTGAGTAAACTTTATTAGCACTCATTTCCTTTCCATTTATATCCTGCAACATCCAGTCATTGGATTGTTCATCCTGCAATGCATATTATACAAATATTGACTAGATTTGCCACATTTATCAATATATAAGATATGCTTAGAGAATACCCACCTACCTACCTATGAAGTGTAAGGTCCAATATCTAAAATTATGGAAGCACTTAAAAGGTGTTATAAAATAAAAGTACTCCACAAAAGGAATTAACAAAATGTAAATTTTTTTCCAGTTTGTTGATCCATTAATTTTACATGAATTGTTAAGTGTATTTTTAATTTTCACTGAATTGACGACGGATTTTTCCGTTATTATCTGATAATGACAAGGAGCACACAGTGGGTGTAACCGGTCGGCAGGGGATGCTCACTCCCCAATGGCACCTGATCCCAATTCTGATGTTTTGGAGTTCCGTGTTAGATCTGATCCTGTTTTGTATCCTTCTATAGAACATTTTCAAAAATTGTGGACAAGTTTAAAGTTTTTAGATCAAACTTCAAGGTCAAATTTATTAAAGGGTCAAAGTCCTTGATATCTAATGAAAGGTCTTGCCACAAGAATTAATTATATGATGCATGAATACCCTAACACTTCAAAAGTTATGGTCAAGGTTCGTTTTTTTAAGTAAGTCCAACAACGATGTCAAAGGGTCAAAGTTCTTTGTATCTAATGAAAATTCTTTTATAAGGATTACACATGTGAAGTATGAAAACCCTTACCGTTCAAAAGGTATGGCCAAGGTAAAAGTTTTTCCATAAGTATTGAAATCTCAAGGTCAACGTCAAAGGGTCAAAGTTCTTGGTATCAATGAAAGGTCTTGTCACAAAAAATACACATGTGATATATGTCCTAGTTTCCACTATTCAAAACTTATAGTCAAAGTAAAAGTTTGGAATTTTTGTGTAAAAAGTTACACCCAAGGTAAACATTTTAAGTGGTTCAAACTCAAAGATCAAGGCCAAAAATATGAATATTCATAGAAAGGCATTGCAACATAAATGTAAATGTAAAGTAAGAAAACTCTATCACCAACTGTTTAAAAGTTATCGCGAAGGTTAAAGTTGGGTAAAGACTTGCAAAATGTGTCAAACTCCAAGGTCTAGAGTTCAAATGTTTTGGTACCCAAAGAAAGGTCGTAACACAGGGCATACGCATATGAAATATCAGAACCATAGCTACAACCAATCAAAACCTACGGGCAATGTAAAAGTTTTTGCGAACAATCCTTCAAACAGACAGACAGACATGGCAAAACATACTTCTCCTAAATCTTCAATTACGGGGCATAAAAATAAACCTTATTAACTGGACAAAAACGAAATATTTCCACTTTAATATGATTTGATTGGGTCCAGTTATTATTTCAAAATATTTTATTATAATGACCCCCTTTAGTAACCCTTTGCTCCTAGGTCATAATTGACCGAACCATGAGAATGCTTGTACATTAACATTTCAATTGATGTCTTTCTTTTTTTTAAAGAAAATTTAAAATCATGGTTTCTTTTTAGTAAAACTTTTTCCCCATTGTAGTCCTACCCTACACTCAGGGGTTTTGATTTGAACAATAAACTTGAATCTGCACCAACTGCTTGCATATTAATGCCTTACTATTCTTGTTAAATATTTTTTTCATACATATTCGTAAAACTTGCATTCTCTTTTGCAGTCCCATCCTGATCTCAAGGGCGAATGAATCTTTGTTACTCTAGGATGTTGGCATAATAATTATAGCACTTATGGCCCTGTTTATCTTGAGAAAAATTGAACAATTTTAAAAAGATTGTAATATTTTTCCTATCTAGCAACGTGTATATTTCCTTGTAAAACTTTTACCTTCATATATAGCCCCACTCATTCAGGGGGGGGGGGGGGTGATTAGAAGAAACATGAAACTGCACTTTCAATGCTTGCTTATTCAAAAAAAAAATGCACGACCATGACCCTGCACGAATTATCGTTGAAGAGTAAATGATCTTGAGTAGGGATAAAGGTATTAGCGCCATATTCAGGTTATGTTTGCTTATTGATTAACGTCCCTCTTGTGAAATTTTCAGTTATATGGAGACGCCACCACTTGTCGGTGGAAAGCTATAATCTTTGACCTATACTAGGTACTCAGGGTCATTGAGCAGTGAAGAATCTTTTTCATGCCAGCATATACTGCTACACGGGACTTCGCTTTATAAGCTCTAGTCCGACGGGACCCATCTTAACGTTCCACAGTCGGATTCGAACTCTTAACGTAGGGATTACGTCCTTACATTGCGACTCTAGAGCAGACACTGTGCCACGCTGGCCACGCCATAAGCTTAAGCAGTTGATATTCGAATATTACTACATAAACGAGTAAGTTGACTTTTGAATAGCTGAAGTAATCTCGTTTGTAATACAATTTATTTGTAAATTGGCCCTTATCAACTTCCCACTGTTCCCACTATCGCGATTGGCGCTACGATTGAAATCGGGGACTCGAACGTGGACAAATGGTAGTGATCGCATCAAACCGAAACAAATCTTGTGTTCACTCGTGGCTATCGTGTTGATCGTGAAATTCTTTTTGACTGTCAAAATTTTTTCTACGATTAACACGATTAGATTTTTATCGTTAGCATCGCATCAAATCGCATTACATCGTAACTAACCTCAACTGCATCGTAAGTAAACACATCTAATCTGGCTTTCATATCGTGATCATTGGGATCGACCTCGGAAAGGACAAACAAACGATGATTAGCGATTTGTTGAGATGTCTCAAGTTCTTCACTATCTGTGACGCTTTGAGTTGTCCTACTGCTCACGTGTTGACACTGGTATTTTCCCGCTCAGATACGTTTTGATACGGACATTTAAACAATGAAATGCTTTTGTTTGTTATTACTGGAATTAACGGAAGCAGCTGTTGCAGAAAAAATACATAATCCGCGTAAGCGGGTTATGTAAATTTTTTCTGCAATAGCTGCAAACGTTTATTACAGTAATAACAAAGTTAGACATTTTATTGTTTATATTTATATCTGTTTAAATAATCATTTAAAGTAGGATTAAAAAGATTAGTTATTGTATTAATGACGCGAACGTCTTCATACGTTTCATTGATGGAACGGCCACTGATCAAGAAATCTGTACAGGCGACATGCCTAATGTAGTTCATGCAGTGATTACATGTAACGCAATGGGTTTTCTTAAGAAATAAAGGAGAAAATATTCAGTGGATGTAAATATATGAGAGTAAACGCCATTAGACACGAGTGTTAACGCTTTGTTGCGGACGCTCACGCTATATTAGTAATTAGGCTTGCAAAAATAACGGTAAAATTGAACGCGTTTCTTTCTCCGATTGATAAAAAAGATGTATGAGTTTCAGAAAAATATTTTAAAGATACCACCTAAAACAGGTAAGAAAAGGCTAAGAGGAGGGAGATCTCCTTCTGAACCTGAACATAAGGAGGAACGTATTATAAAAACTCTGCGATCAACTAAGATTGATCAATCGTGACGTGCGTAAATGACCGCACGACAGTGGGAACGTAGCATTAGTCAGTAAAAACATCAAAATATGAAACAGATATGGCAGACCCTTTGGTTACAGGGTTGTATTTTATTTCACGTTCACTGGGATATATCAAATTGACATACATGTGCGAATGATAATAAGTATGGTTTATTGAAAAAATATCATTGATATATCTTAACGTGGAGTCCACCGTTGGCTCTAGTTATATCTATTCTCATACATAATTTTTTGAATAAAATTGTTTCACAAAAATATTTAAAAAAAAAACAGGTCAGATAATAAACAAGAGGCCTACGGGCCACATCGCTCACCTGAGCACATTGGTTAGGCAACAAAGCAGAAATCACCTCAGAATTGAGACATTTACATGGGGGAAGGGTTCTGGTTCTACCAACTACTTGATGATTGATGATATTTCCATACAACAAATGCCTTTGACGTTTTTGAGCAGATGATTTTTTTTATTCATTCATTTGACCCCCTCCCCCTACTGTGGCCAAGCCCTACCCCTGGGAGCCTTCATTTCAACCAGTATGACTTTGTACTACCTGCGAATACCTCCATATCAATATGATTAAACATGGTTTTTTTCTGTTCTTTGGAAAAAAAATTCCTTAATATTTCTAGGCAAAACTTTGATCCCCAATCGTGGCCCACCCTATCCAACTCCTATTTCCCATTTATGACCAATCTATCATGCAGAGTGTTCGTTTGTCCCTCTCTCAGACACCTCTGCAATGGGTTCACGTCAAGATTTTTGACATAACGTATAAAACGTGATATTTGCAGGATTTTTTCAAAGTAAAATAATAGGTCTTGATTTATTTAGTAACTCAAAACACAGACATAAGCACAGAAATTGAATTATAATGAATTAAAACAAATGTACTATTTCTCGTGTTTATCACTGTGATATACGCGAGCCAACGACAGAGGTGAATGAGCCGATGGTAGAGAGTGATTTATGACTTAAACAAACTTGAATCAACACTACGTGAGGATGCTTACATAAAGATTTGGCCAACCATGGCTTTGTGGTTCTTTAAAAGAATAGTTAATAAAAATTCTGATGTATTCATTTCTATTGAAAACTTTAATCGTCCATTTTGGCCCCACCCTTACCCCAGGGGTCACGATTTGAACAAACTTGAATCTACTGGTACACTACCTGAGAATGTTTTCACATAAGTTTCATCTTTCCTGCACCAGTGGTTCTTGAGAAGCAGATTTTCAAAGATTGTTCCTATATATTCCTTTGTAAATCTTTGATCGTCAATTGTGGCCCTACCCCCGGGGGTCATGATTTGAACAAAATTGAATCTACACTACCTGAGAATACTTCCACATGAGTTTCATCTTTCATGGCCCAGTGGTTCTGGAGGAGAAGACTATTAAAGATTTTTCCCATATATTCCTCTGTAAATCTGTGATCAGCCATCATGCCCCTGCCCTACACCCCTATGAGTCTTGATTTGAACAAACTTGAATCTATACTATCTGA